GACTAGATAGATAGATAGATAGATAGATAGATAGATAGATAGATAGATAGATAGATAGATAGATAGGAATCCCCTGGAACTGGAGTTGCTGATGGTTATCCACCATGTGGGTGCTGGGAACTGAATGTGGGTCCTCTGAAAAGAGTAGCCAGTGCCCTTAACCACTGGAACAATTTTAAAACTACTTAAGAGCTACATTTGGTGTGAAGACAGTGGTTCTCCTCATGGGTGGAAAAGCATGGATCTATACCGATTGAATCAGTCTTCAGGAAAGGATACCAACTAGCAGTCTTTAAGACCTGCTATGGGCAGGAGTTCACTTTCCTTTTTTATTCAATTAGCTTCTTTAATTTTCACAACTACAGTACAAGAGAGGTACCCTAATAATCATTTTAAAAGTGAAAGTTGTTAGCAAGAGGCAGAGGAGGGATGAAAATCCTGCTCTAAAGAAGGTGAAGCATTATTATAATTTCAGCATTTGGAAGTCTGAGGAAGGATTGTGAATTCCAAGCCATCTTGAGTTAAAACAGTAACGGGGCTGGAGAGATGAGTCCGTGTAAGAGCACTTGCTGCTCTTGCAGAGGACCCAGGTTCAGTTCCCAGCACCCACGTGTCTTATAACTGTTAATGCAGTTCCGGGGATCTGACACCCTCTTCTGACCTCCATGTGCATTGCACACGTGGTACACTTATATACAGGCTGATAAAACACTCAAACACATAAAATAAAATAAATATATGTGCCCCTAAAATTCATATACTGAAATCCTAATCTTCAGTGTAATGTATTTAGAGCTGGGAATGTGGAAGGTGACTCACTCCTAAGTATGGAACCCAAATCAAACAGTATTAATGCCCTTATAAAAGAGGTCCTAGGGAGATCCCTCGTCCCTTCAGTTCACAGAGAGAAGGTACCTTCTGTGAATCAGGAAGCAGCCCTCACCAGACACTAACCTGCTGCTGCTGCCTTGATCTTGAATATCTTAGCTTCCAGAATTGTGAGAAATGAGTTTCTGTCACTTCTAAGCCACCCAGTCTCGTGCCACCCAGTGACATTTTCATTTTGGTAGCCTAGATAGACAGTACGCTTCCTGAAACATTGCTCTATTTCTCTGAAGAAAGCATTGGAATAGAAAGTAAACTGGATTTGGGGTCTGGGGTGGGGCAGCCAGTGGATAGGTTCCCTGAATGAGAACATACAACAAAGCTCACATGGAGGGTGATGCTGACACAGGCCAGAAGAGCAGGAGATCATAAGCCAGGTAGCTCACACCATCCACCATGGGTGATGCACAACTTAATCTGTGTGGGTTCTATGCTGATGACTTATAGGGTGACATCACTTAGTTCTCACAACAGCACTCTGAAGTGGGTGCCATTATTTATTAGCATCTTACCACAACATAGGAAGGAGATGCAGCTAACAAGGGATGGGTCTGACACTTGAGATTATGTCAAGTATGTCTCCAGGTACAAGGGGGCACAGCCAGCTTGTGGCACGCCAAGCCTGAGAAGCTTGAGGAAAGCCTAGGGACTTTCTGGGATAAACTGACCACAGTATGAGTTTTCTCAGAATCCCCACTCACCACAGAACACCCACTTAGACTTTCATTCAAATGCTGATTTCTCTCCAGGCAACTAGTCTAATCATTTTTAATCAAAATTGAACTAAGTAAAAAGAAGTTTTATTTGAATTTCAAATAACTCAAACCTATGAACTAAAAGATGCAATTATATATCTTGAAACTTACTCTCCCATTAGAGGGATAGCATCCGGAAAGTTCTTCTGGAAGAATTCCATCACATCAGTACTGGTTGGAAGTGTTTCAAACTCTTCAAAGGACATGAACAAAGTACAGGTGAAAGATTTGTCCTGGAAGAAAGAAATGGGGTGAGAGAGAAAAGAGGCTTATGATGCTGCCATTAAAGGTGAACTCCTTAAACCACAGGGTTCTGGTTGGGACCAAGGAGCTCCTGGAGTAATGTCCAAGCCAGTGGACCACTGCTTTGTCTCCTCAACTGAGAAGAAAGCTCTGCCAAGTCCCCAGGGCCCTCCCTGCTTCCTTAGTCATTAGGAGGATTGCTATTCTGTAAATTTTTCACATTTACCAGATAATCCTTAGATTAATTGTAAGTTAGTCTGTGTGACTTTTTTTCCTCCCCCTTTTCTTCCTTTTAAGCATTGATCCCTTAACAGACTGCATCAGGAAGAAAAAGACCACCACAGAATAGACAGCTAGTAGATATAGGGAAAAAGACCCAATGAAAGAAAAAAAAATGTGTGTGTGTGTGTGTGTGTATGTGTGTGTGTGTGTGTGTGTGTGTGTGTGTGTGTCCCCTAATGTCCCTCCCATAGACCCTTAAGATTAAAGGGATTCTTTAGTATTATAACCTATATATCTCTGGCTTTGTTGGGGGCCATTTGTTCCTAGACTGCTTATACTGAAAGTGATGACACATCTGGTTATGAACTGTGCATCATTTAAGTAGTGAAATCTCCTTTCTGAAGTAAATAATTGGACTTGCTTTTGGACTTTGCTTCCTCAGAAACCCAAAGCTTCAGAGACAGAATCACTAAACAGATTAAATAATGAAGAGGTCAAATAGGTACACATATATCCAGTACAAAACCAAGTAGTGAAAAACATTAATTACAGATGCAAAATTAGCTGATATTACCATGTTAGGGAGTGCAATCATCATAAAGGCATTTCTCGGCCAAATATGCAGATAATTAGGTTCCATGGCATACTGCAGGGAAAAAAGCATATGTTTAATTAGCACATGGTACAGCTGTAACACTCTGTTACATTGTTTCTACAGTGATCTAAGTCATCCACATACACATGATGCTTTGCACGCACGTTGTTACATGAAGTAGATGCCATTTTAAAAAATGCTTTGAGTTCTATCCTTATATGAGCAACTTTGGATGAGAATAGGAGCTGGAGAAATGGCTCCACATTTAAGAGCACTGGCTGCTCCCCTAGAGGACCTGGGTTTGGTTCCCAGCACCCACGTGGTGGCTAATAGCCATTCCTAACTCTAGTTTCAGAGGATCTGATGCCCTCTTCTGGCCTCCACAGGCATTGCACACACATGGGTGCGCTTACATACATGTACATAAAACACTCATATACACAAAATAAAAATAAAATATTAAAAAATATTTGAGAACATACTATAATAAGATACTCTCTTACTTTTTGTCTTTCTATACACACATATATGCATGTGCACATGTATACGCATGCATATGCATGCACACATACAAAACATACATGTGGATTTGTATGTGTATAATATTTTTTATCTTGAGTACTTTTATAGACTAGACAGGAAAGTCTTAAGCTGAAGTAATAAGGTACTGAAAGAAAAGAACAGGTTCCCAGTAAGTATTATCATGTTATATTGTAGTCATTATGGCCTAGGGAAAGGGTCCATGTCTGCCTGGCCCTAAAGAAAACCTAACACAAAGATGGTGGAATTCATAAATGCCCAACTATTTGTCTTCAGAGATTGTGCAGTGAATTGACTAGGTGACAAAGAATGGACACTATGGAAATCCAAATCACTTCTCTTTAACAATGTAAGAAACAAGAAGACAGTAAGTGGTTTGGTGCTGGTTGGAAATATAGGAAATGAAATGTTGACAGATAAGTATTGTAGGCCAGAGTGGTTAAAAGAGAGCCTTGCATTGAAGAGAAAAGCACAGAGGATCTAAGGAGAGAAGCAGGGGATTTGCACAGCTTCATGAGCTGGGCAAGCTGGAGAAGACAGAGGCACCTAGTGCTTGAGGGAAATGCTTTTCCTTCCTGACGTCTTTTGCATCTTTCCACTGCTTCCCCACCCTTTTAGGACTCCAAATACAAGGCAAGGGGCAAGTAACAACCCGAACTAACCTGGATTACCACTGCACTATCAAAGGCTGATACACTGATACCAAAGACGAAGTCAACACATTCAGAGGAAGTTGGGGAACACGGAAGAAGTTAGAGGGGGACTGGGAGGGACGGAAATAATGCAAGTACAATGCTCATGTGCGAAATTCTCAAAAATAAAAATAATTACTAAAATTTCTTTTAAATAGTAGGGAACACAAAATGCAACTTCTATCTTCCTCATTGACATAGGGAAAGGCTTGTAAATCACTGCCAACTGAGAGTGCTACTAGGAACATATAGATGTGCACACAAATTTCCTGAGCCTAGAGAGAAACACTTAAAATCTTAGCTTCTTTTTTTAAACCAAGTTACACTCTTGATAGAAGCTCTTATGGGACAGCAGTCCAAGGACAATGCAGTGTCACTCCCTTGTCCCTCTCACCACAAGTTCCTCCAAATATAAAGCCCAAATAGCTTGCTGGCTGTGCCCAAGAAGCTTTAAGGTAAGCCTTCAGGGCTTGGGGGATGGGTAGCTCAGTGGACTAGCACCTGCCTAGCACATGCAAGTCTCTGAATTTAATTCCCAGTACTGACAAAAGAAAATGAAAAGAAAAAGAAGGATCACTCAGGATTTCATTCTCAGTCTTTACTTTTTTAACACCCAGAGTCCTCCTGCCAAGGTTCAGGAAACACTGCACACAAGAGGAGGCAGAAATATTGCAAGCACTACAGGATGTAGAGGAGTGTGTGAAATGCTGTCTTTTGGACATGACATGGTAATTGCATTTATGAACTCACTGCAGCTGTGGTTACTTGCACAATATCTGTACAAGATCAAACCATCCAAAATTCCTACATAGATGAGGGAGTTGATCTCCAGGCCCCACCCCTTACTGAGGAGCTATTTATTGGTAGTTGATAATTGCTGGTGAGGGAGAATCATTCTTCTTAGAGGGTGTAACCAGTGGTAGATTTCCTATGCTCCAATGGATAGCCCCATACCCATGCACATATGGGCAGCACTAAGAGGACTTTGTAGGTTATCAAAAAAGAAGGAAGAGGAGAAGGAAGAGGAGGAGGAAGAGGAAGAGGAGGAGAAAATAATGGCATCAGGAGGGTAAGGTATTGGAGAGGTATGCGGGGAAGTTTGAGGGGATAAATGGGGATATATATGATCATATTTCATTGTATACATGTATGACAGTCTCAAAGAATAAGAAAAACAATAAAATAAAATATAGGCTTACAGTAAAGCAATAAAGCTAAGTTAACAAACCTAAAAAAAGAAGAGAAATATTTTCCCATTCAATTTCACAAGGCCTTTCATCCAATCTTTCTTTCTCACTCCACCCATCAGAGATGGAGTGCAAGTATCTGTTGTGTAAATTGCATTAAAAGAGAAAAAAAGTAGATTTTTTTAAAGCTGGAGAAAATCATTATCAGATGAATTAAGCTAGTCTTAAATAACATCACATCTGTTCTCTCATGTGTGGTTTAGATTTTTACCTAGATGCATAAAGTCATGCATGCATATATGAAATGAATGTGGAAGCAGAGGTTTAGGGGCATGAAGGAGACTAACTGGAGGGGCAGGGAAGAAGAGGACAGGTAGGGAGCATAAGAAGAATATGCTCAACACACAACATATACATGCATGAAAAATTAAATAAATTTTAAATCCATTTGATGTATGATGTCATTTAATTCAGATGTCTCTCTGTTTATTCTTTGTTCATTTGGCCTTTCTATTGGAGATAGTTGGGTATTGAAGTCACCAACTATTACTAAGTTGGGGTTACTCTGTGTCTTAAAGTCCTGTAGTGTTGTTTTTATGAAATTGAATGCACCAGAGTTTGGTGCATATATGTTCATGATTGCAATGTCTTCTTGGTCAATTGTTCCTTTGATTAGAATGAAGTGACAGTCTTTCTCTTTTCTGATTAGTTTTAATTTGAAGTCTATTTTGTCAGATATTAGAATTGCAACACATGCTTGTTTCTTAGTGTCATTTGCTTAGAATATTTTTTTTCCATCCTTTCACCCTAAGGTAGTACCTGTCTTTGAAGATAAGATGAGCTTCTTGCAGATAACAAAAAGATGGATTTTATTTCTTTTTTAAATTTTATTTTTATTTTATGTGTATGAGTATATTGCCTGCATGTGTGTATGTGCACCCCTGTCATGCAATGCCTGAGGAAGTCAGAAGAGGACATTGGATTACCCTGAAACTGGAGATATAGATTGTTGTTAGCCACAACATCTTGGCAGGCAGATCAGGATGGGGGCCAAATGCAAGGTGGGGATGGGTACAGCCTGTGGAAGGTCTAGCACACTAGGCAGAATAGATGCTGGCCCTGAAGCTGGAGAATGCAACTAGTCTGGGTTCAGGGGATCAGGGCACAGTGGGCAGCGTCTAGGCTAGGAGGCTAGTCCAGCAATCTGAGTCTGGAGGAGCAGGAACAGGCCTATGCTCAAGGATAGAAAAGGGACAGCATGTGAAGAAAGCTAAATAAAACTTAAAAGGGAGACAACTAGGAAAGAGAAAAAAGTTTCCCAGGATTGTTTGGGGACCTTGCTAAAATGTCCATATGTGCGGGCCATATTTATGTCAAAACACTTTTCTTTAAAAAGTGAGACCTTTTTAAAAAATGATAATCATTACTAATAATTATGTATGGTTATCTTGCATCTACTTTAGTGGATGCTGTTCTTCTTAGGCCAGGGATGATTTTTCAAGAGAACCCTATAACTGCATAATCCAGAATTATCAGCTCTGGAATTGTGACAGTGGGACCCTCAGACAATGAGCATTGAGATACTAGTGAAAACCTAAATAGAAAGATAATGAAATACTTAAAATATGCATTTGAGTGTCCTGTACAGTGTGTTAGGATGTAACACCACTATCTCAAGCTCGTTATCTATTTCCCTGATGACTGCACTTCATCAAGGAGAGAATAAATCAGATTAAAACTTTAGAATAGTGTAGATGCAAATCCAATGTAATGTAACACATTTATCCCTACAAGTTAATATACTTATATTGTTTCTATTAGTATTTTACTTTTCTTTAGCAAGTGTCTATGTTTATTTGATTATGAGAAAGTAAAATCTTTTTCATTAAATTCTTAAATATAAAATATTACGTTGAAATAAGTTTTACATAAAAATTTGCATACTGCTTGTTTTGCCTCTGGAATAGCATATGATTTAATAGTGGAACAATGTGGGAATGAAAAAACACAATTTAAATGTCTCTTTGCAACAGTTTATTAGTCCACTCTGCTAGCTATGACTCCGTGCTCCTGTGGGGGGAAGGTAAGACTTACCTCCCCATTCTTAGGTGGAATTGTCAACTCCATGTACCCATGAGGAATGTACTGCTGGCTGTAATTGAAGCGAGGTGTCTTCATGAGGTGGGCTCTGACAGTTGAATAGGCTCCATCACATCCTACAATAAGGTCACAAGTGATGTCTTTGGGAACTTTGTCAGGCCTGAAAAACAGAATGAACCACGCAAAAAAATTTTCTAGGCAAAATGATAATATACTGCCGGGGTATAAGAAGTGACCTCAATAGATAACTTAGAGAATTTGCTATTATTCTGTAACTTAAATTCTACCTTCATTTAGCTTAAGTCAATAGATTTAAAATCAAGATAAAAACATTTGTCCCAGACATAATCTTACTTATGAGAATGAGATACTACACAACTATTCTGATACTAAAGATATGCCATGCTGCAGAAACGGGACAGAGCGCCGAGCTTTCTATATATAGGAAGAAAGTCTTGAGAAAAGGGTGGTCCAAGAGTAGGAATGAATACATCTGTATATTACAGGGGTGTGAATGAACGTATGAGCACTTGCTGGGATGCACCAGGATTTGCTAGGAGCACTGTTTGGCTCAAATCAATAACATCAGACAATAAGCTTAAGAAAAGACTATAGTTGACCCTTGTCACTCTCCAGAATTGGTTCCAAATACCCAAATCTGCAGATGCTCAAATCCCTTATGTAAAATAGCACAGTATTTGCACACAGACTCTGCATATCCTCCCAGTGCTTTGAGTTATCTCTAGATGACTTACAACACCCTGCCCGGTATAAAGGCTGTGTGACTGGTTCTTATAGTGAATCATTAGGGGATAATGACAAAAGAAAAAAATCTGTGCATGTTCAGTGCAAGTGACTTTATTTTTTTTTGTTCTTGGAGATAAAGCCTGTTTTGGGAGACTTTTGATCCGAGGTTGGTTGAACCCATGGATGAAGAGTCGGTATGAAAGGTTAACTATACAATGCATAGGGGGAAAAAGAAGAGACTGAGGGGCGAAGACAAAATGTTTAAATATGGACTCTGGAAAAAAGCAGAAACTGGTTTTCTCCATTTGAAGGATATGATTAAGGAATGGCAGTTTCAGAAAACTCACGTGGCAGTTTGAAGTAGAGGAGGCAAGGGCAGTAGCCACATGTGCAGGGGTGAGAGCCAGTTACTGTCCTGCTACAGGAAGAAAGAGGACAGACAGACTCTAGAGGTGAGGGAGGAAGACACCCTGGGGAGAATTTACCATTTAATGTGAGGAAATGGGGAAAAGGAAACACCATGAAGTATGATAATTATGCTGGCAACAGTACAGGGACGTTAGGAATGGTCATGTTTGGGGGAGACAGAGACAATCACGACTTCCATGAATTTGAGATAATGCAAGTTGTAGCTGGGGACAGGCAATCATTGATCAGGACTTCAGAGAGGATTGAGAAAGAAGGCAGAGCCTGGAAAGACATGTTCATGTTTGAGATGCAAATTTACAAGTGGTTGTATAACCCATGTGTGGTATTCCAGGAGTAGAACTTTAGAAGACACAGAATTAGCCAGAGGCCAGATGAGAAATCAGACCCAGAAAGAGGTCAGGAGATGCAAGGCAGAGAAGAGCCACGAGCTTCCAGGGAGGAGGGAGTCTGAATGGAGAGTACCCGGCGGAGCATGGAACTCAAGGAGGATCACTGGTTCAGGTGCTCAGGAAGCCTCCAGAACTATTTTCAAACTAAACCTCCTTGGTTGTAAGGATTATTTGATTTCCACTGCAGTAATCATTGAATTATTTCAAAGGAGCCAAAGAACAGAGTTTATAGATGAGTGCTCTACTCTCATCCTTGCCCTCTGAAGCCAAAGGCTGAACCGTGATTACCCAAGGACGGTGACCATTCCTTCCTCGGGACTGCATTTTGACAGCCTGTGGCCAAAGTGCACGCTGGCGTTAGGGTATGACTCCACAGCTGAGGAGAGAAACAGAAGGCAAACAGAGCTGGATTTCAGTTATGGCTTCACTTAGTCAAATGGAAATGCTGAGTATTCTTCTAACAGTGTACTGAAGCTATTAATTATCTAATTTATTTGTGATAGGGTCTTACTATGTAGCAGAGTCTGGCCTCGATCTCACTGTGTAGTCCAGGCTAGCCTCAAACTCCTGAATGCTTAGATTTCTGCTATATCCCACCATACCAGATAGGATATTCATTCTTAACAATATGAAATGAATTTGTTAAAATGGTGATTTGACAAACAATTTGTAGATTTCTTAGTATAATCTTTTACTAAGACAGATGAATAAACACAGCTGCTGTCACTTCAAAAATATAACCACTTACATTTGTATAAACTCTTGCATCCCTGTGATTGTTTGCACTCTTGGAAAGAGTTGTCACATATTTCAAAAGTCACCCTTGAGGGTTGATTTGTGACCAGGAATGTTGAACACAAACAAACTCTGCCCCCCACCACAAGAACATTTATTTCAACTGGGTAGCCTAGTTCATCACGACATATCAGTACTGACCAACAGACGGCAGTCCTACAATTTCTGTATCACAGTGACACAGAGAGCATAAACTGGGAGGGAGAGTTAGCGGTGATGCTGCACGATGCATAAAATTAAAAAGCAAAGCTGATGGGGCCGATGAAGAACAGGGTAGTCCTACCAGCATGTTATTTCAAGTTTCCGAGTTCACTACCCAGCTCTATGACCTTCTCAAGTGTGTCTCTTCTGTATAATGGATTGACATTTACTGTCTTTGCATTTTTAAAAATTTCATCTTGGCCTGGCGTGGTGGTGCACGACTTTAGTCCCAGCACTTGGGAGGCAGAGGCAGGCTCTGTGAGTTCGAAGCCAGCCTGGTCTACATAGTGAGTTCCAGGACATCTGGGGCTACAGGGAGACCCTGTCTCAAAAAGACCAAAATTTTTTTTCATATTTAATAAATTGACTCATGCTGATTAATATGTCTAAGAGCAAAATAAAAGTAGAGAATATAGTTTACGGGCTAACAAAATGTATTTGCCTAAGATATTAATTATGGTCAGTAAACATTTAAACACAGTATTTCAAAACATTCTGCACAAGAACTTCCAGATCACATTCATTGAACAGTAAAGTATATAGTTGTTGATTAAAATATTTTCAAGACTAACTATATAGTTTCAAAACCAAGGAATGTAGTAAGTAAATCATTTTTACATCATAGAACACTAAATATTATATCTAAACAGCACATAGATTTTTGTGCTAAAGGCAGAATGCTGGAAAATTTAAGTTAATATTAAGCCAAAAATTTAGAGAATATTCAAATTTTTGATTAACTGAGGCTTAATTTGGTAAGGAATAGGGTCTCTGAGTATCAGATTAAAAAAATTATATATTATTTTTATTTTATGTGTATGCGTGTATTGCCTGCATGTAGGTAAGTGCACCCATGTCATGCAATGCCCGCAGAAGTCAGAAGAGGCTGTCAGATCCCCTGGGACTGGAGTTACAGACAGTTGTTAGCTGCCATGTGGGTGCTGGGATTTGAACCCAGGTCTTCTGTTCTTAACCTGTGGAGGCAACTTTGTGGAGTTGGCCTTTCCTTTCAGATGGGTTCCATGAACTCAGCTCCTCGAGCTTGCAAAGGGCTTTTACCTGCTAAGCTACCCACTGAGATGTTTCCCCCCTTAAGATGTATGAGGACCTGAAAATCTTTTCATATACAAATCTTTCTTTGGATTTTGATCAGGGATTTTTTTTTTTTTTTTTTTTTTTTTTTTTTTTTTTTAAAAAAAAAAAAAACCTGGAGCTCACGTTGTAGACCAGGCTGCCCTCAATCTTATAGAGATCTGCCTGCCTCAGTTTACCAAGAGAAAGGGTTTATTAGGCTTACATCTCCCAGGTCACAGTTCATCACTGAGGGAGCCCAAGGTAGGAACTCAGAGCAGGAACCTGGAGGCAGGAGCTGAAGCACAGGCCATGGAGGAACGCTGCTTACTGGCTTGGTCCCCTGGCCCCTGCTCAGCCTGCTTTCTTATGCAACACAGGCCCACCTGCCCAGGGGTGGCACCACCACAGTGGGCTGGACCGTCCCACATCACTCAACAATCAGGACAATTTCCCCACAGACATGGCCACAAGCCAGTGCAATGGAGACAATTCCCCAATTGAGGCTCCCTCAACCCAGGTGTGTCAAGTTGACAACTAAAGCTCTCCAGCACAGCACATTTCCTTAAAAGATAGGTCTTCAGTTCACCAGAAGGGCAAGTAGTGGGAAATGGCTGAGGGTGCCGACAACACAGCAGACAGTAGCAGGGATATCAAAGTGTAAGGGCTCTAGTGGGGGCAGGGAGGCTATGGGAGGGTGCTACCTGGGAAGTGGGTGTAAAAATAAATAAATTAATTAAAAACAGTAATAATTCTTCAAAGCATAAAAATTCGCTCCTCAATAATTAGTAGATGTGAAAAACATTACCATTGAAATCTACCTGATGACTTTATATCCATGCTCAGATGCCAAGGAGCAGAAAGTAACCGACTGTGACTAGTAATAATCAGATATATAGAGGTTAGAAATGCACGTGCATCTTAGTGTCAATTGTATTAAAAATAAATTTTTCTGTATTAAAAAAAAACTTAGGTCTTCATTAAGACCTCAGCGACACTTGCAGTCAGTATTTCTTTGAGCTTTGTTGTAAACTTCCGATCTCTGCAACAAGATTCTTTCTGAATGCTACTCAAAAATATTAACAGGAGTGGTTTCCTAAGGATTTCTATCCTAAACACTGGATTAGACATGTATAAAGGAGGGCCTAATAAGGATGCTTCTGCTGTACTGTCGATTCCCACCGTTACAAATACTAGCTTTCCAAGAGCACTACTGTTACTGCTTGATGTAAAATATCAATTCATACACATAATGGTTGGATCCAAAAATTCAATGTTTGTTTTCTGCATAAAATTAAATTTTATAGGACATATGAAATTTGAAACTTAATAGCCTGAATAATAAAAAGCTAAAATAGGTAATAATTCAATTGAAATGTCTGTTAACATCATTACTAACTATATAATTTAAAATCAAACTACATACAGACTTGAAAGTCAGATGATGTCATCCATGGATCCTTTAATATTTTTATTTCAGAAAATATGCAAGATCCCCTGAATCAGAATTTTCCAAATGTTCTTAAAAAGAATTATGAGACACCTCCGATTAGAAAAGCAGTTCACTTGCCACAAATGAACTCCTCTGCTGAGGTAGCAGTCACACCCCAGGTGGCCTTCTGTGGTGGCAGTCCTGTCCACTGACAAGCACACCCTCTTCACAGGAAAAGAATGAACAAGGGACAAGAGAATGAGCTTGCCTTGCTTCACTTGGTGTTGTCATAATACCTTAGATGCCGGATTTCAGTTTTACTGCAATAACAAATAGCAATATCTATACTGAAAGGCTAGCTGTGTGTTGCAAGCAGCAGGTGTTAAGAGCTTCCAATGCAATCTCTAGGAATAGTCCGCAGTTCTGAACCATGCGTCAGAAAAACATTTCCAACACTTCCAGTCTGTGTGGAATTTATCCCTATTCCATCACAGGTAATAAGTGCACTTGTTGCTGCAGGAACTTTAAACTCTTGTGCTGCAAACTTTAAGACTGCAGTGAAAGGTGTGCTTTCAGGAACACTGAGAACTTTGTACGCAGCCACGGGTCCATCGTCAGTGTGATCTTGAAGGAAAACTTTGACATGGTGGAGCCATCACATCCCAAACAAACTCCTCCCCCCACTTTATGCATGTCTATTTCTTTCTCTGAGGTAATCTGGGCTTCTAATTCATGCTACCTCAAGTACAGAGTGTGGACACAAAGTGGTTTTGGAATTAGTGGAGCCAGGAGTGGTGGTACATACCTGTAATCCCCACATTCAAGAGGCTGAGGCAGGAGGATTATTACTTAGATACTAGCCTAAGCTACACAGTGACATCCTATCTCAAAAAAACAGAAACAAAAATTTTAAAAAAGGAAAGAAAACTTTGCTGTATTACAGTTTATCTGATACAGACAGGCGGGGCATCTTTTGAATTTTTTTGTTTTAAGTTTTATTGTACTGGGTTATATAAGACCATCTTCATACAAGTATGCCATATAAGACGAGAATATTCCTTCATGAACCTAGTTATAATATCTTTTACAAACTCAAAACTAGTTTATAGAGTAAACTTTTATGTAATTTAAATGTTTTACCTAAGAGTATAGTCTTTGAAAAGTTTCTCGCAAGAGAGCAGTGTTGGATGGGCTCCTTAAGACAGTAGTGAAATGCTGACGACTTGGGCTCCCCTGAGCTGTGCCATGTTGGGTCTCCAGCTACGTGAACTGATCTTGAAATGTGGCTAGTCTGAATGGAGACAAGTTGTACTCTTAATTTTGACAGCCTAAATAATACATAAATCAACGGAAATACCTCAGGAATAATGTGTGTGTGGTACGAGGTGTGTGCACATGCATATCAGGAGTCCTTGCCTGTGTGTGCAGGTGGAGGTCAGAAGTTTACGTTGGCTCTCTTCTTCAGTTTGCTCTTCCCCTTCTCTTTTTGAGACAGGATTTCTTCACTGAACCCGAAGGTCACTGTTTCCACTGGAGTAGCTGGCCAGAGAGCCCCTGGGATTTATCTGTCTCCTCTCCAGCACTGGGTTACAAGTGTGCACCACCATGCCCAGCTTTTCCATGGGTTCTGGAAATCTGAACTCAGGTCTTCATGCTTAGATAGTGAGTACTTTAGCTCCTTAGCCTGGGGAATAAGTGTTGGCTACACACTGAAATGGCAATATTTTTGATACACTGGCTTATATATCTTATCAATTTCACTTTAAAAAAATTTACATGATTAATATGAAGTTAAAAATCACATATGTGATTGGCATCTGTGGCCCTAGACTGGAGAGCACTGCCTTTGGAAGTCCACAGACCAGAAGAATAGAGGAAGATCCTGAGAATTACTGAAAATAAAAAAGAATGTTCAAACTGAATTGATGCAGGATTTATAAATTCCCTAATTGCATCTTTCTTGCACTTAATTATTAGCAGTTTATGGAAGAGAAAACTATGAAATGGGTGAATATGAAAGGATGATGCATTTAAGAATGAGATTTGGTTATGGTAATTTCAGAGGGGAGATGGTTCAGATAAAGAAAAATAAACGTTTGAGGCCACCAGATGGCTCAACGGGTAAGAGTGCCTGCCACTAAGTCTCATGACCCTGTGTTCAGTTCTCACACAGTTGAGAACTGACTCCTTCAAATTGTCCTCTGACCTCCACATGCAAGCTGTGACACATGTGCACATGCGTGTATACAGACATAAATAAGTAAATAAATCTTAAAAATAAACATTTATAAATGATGGAATATAGAGAATGAATGGTTCACATGTTTGGTGACTTGGATTTCATATGCCAGCAATATTTGGTTAAAGATATTCAGCATAAACACATATATATTTCTGAAATTACATGCAGTTCAGCATATCTTTAAAAAAAAAAAAGAATGGAACTTCCAACACATATACCATCACTGTACCTTCCTCATATTTTGGATCCTTCATATTAGCAGGAGTTTTCTACATAATATTGGATTGAAATCAAGGACTTTGGAATAAACAGGCTCGAATTCAAATCCATATTCTGCCACTTGTTAACAGTCAGACTTAAGATCTCTAAGCTTCCATATGGTCATTTGTAAGGCTGAGATATAATTAATTCCCACCTCACATAGCTGTTGGGAGAGTTGCAGAGACCAATGCATGTAAGCCATTTGCTACAGTACCTGGTACTTCCATCGTGCTATTATTTTTATCTTAGTAAATTCAGAGGATGCTTTTGCTTTAAATAGATCTGCTGTCTTGCCCTCCCTCCCTCCCTCCCTCC